CAATCGATAATTGAAATATATAAAATAATCTCTAATATAAATATTTTTCATATACAAGTATTGTTATATTTTTAATTTAAATAAAAGTTATAACTCTGTTGTTAATATAAAAAATTGCCAAGTTAAGTATATAAAAAATCGATTCATATATCGAGTTTACTATCGATGACTTATTTTATTAAAATTAAACATGAAAGATAATCTTCTCAATGTATTGGCTGATTTAAAGTTTAAATTACAATTTTATTTCGATATTAAAAATGTTAATTTATCGATATTTTATATCTTTCAATTTTTCATAAATTTAAAAATATACCATAAATATAAAATTATAACAAGTATACATATTTATATGTATTACATTTACAAATAGTTTTTTACATTGACATTTTCCTACCAATAACCCCCAGTTATATTGATATAGCCTTAGTTTTCTATCATCTCCACAACTTGCTAATAATTATGGCCAACGGAGGGGGGCCAGCATCATCTGCATCAGCAAAATAAACACAAATTATAAATTTTCGCCTAATTAGTTTCAATTATTAAAAGCCAAAGTTGTGCAACCGCGCTTGGCTCAGTCCAAGTCCATCCATCGACTTGACATTTCGATTATGTCGCTGCCACTGCCGTTGTGGATATATAGACACCGGGTACGACTGATAAATATAGATACTCCGCCTTTTATATAATGACGCGGCTGAACGAGTTTGCCGCTCGCGTTGAATTGGCTTTTATTTCGGTTTGTCACCTCTCCGTTTTGTAGCTGACAAATGATTGATACACACGCGTAGATCCCCTAAGCATATGGATTCAGATTTGGCTCAAGCATAATTAACATTTATTTGTGCGCCCCTCCACTCCGTTGTGGTGACATTGGACTGGCGTGGTAATTAAGATGGATCTCGTCGTAGCGAGCAAACAAAGCGAGCTGAGCCAGGCTTTTGTCGCACTTCCTGCTAGACCCTAAAACTGAAACTTGCACAGCGCAGTAGTAGTGCGAGCAGCAAGTTCGTTGCCTCAATCTTTTGATTGGCGGTGCAGAGAGAGAAATATGCGGCAGGCTTTCAAGCTGACATTAATAGAGCAATATTGTCATGGAAATTGATTGATGATTGGCTTAATTTGAAACTAGTTTTTTATTTCGTTTGAAAAATCATTGAAATTAAGAGTAAAGCCAAATGCTGATTCTTTTTTGTATTTACAAATACAAGAATTATAATCTGCTATTGTTTAATGATAGTTTTGTTATTGGCTTTGTTTTATATCTCTCTAGTCAGTTTAATTACGTATTTCTTTCTGTGCAATGACTTGCTGATTTACTCTCACTCCTAGAGCATATGTTTATCTGCCTGTCCGTCTCTCTGACTGACTGACTGTCTTGTCTCGAGGAGTTCAATAACCATTTGATGCGTTTCGATTTCAGCCAAACTATGCACACAAATCAGCATAAAAGTGAGCGCGACTTCGAGCAGCAACTCGATTTTCTCTATACATTTACGAGTCGGCCTACACACACACACACACACCGAAAACCGAAAGCCAGTAACAACTACTGCAGCTGGGCTGTCAGGGCTAGGCCAAAAGTGACAGCTCGCCTGCCTCTCAGTCTCTCGAGTATCTCAGAATAAGAATCTAGATAGATATTTTCCAGGCACTTCTGACTGTGAGCTTAACACTAAAGCCAAATGGTTATTGCTCTAGCTACTTGGGGGCAGCTTAGCAGCTTGTTTTGTGAGTCGTGTGGCATTTATTCACATTTATTTCATAGAAATATTATAGATTGCTCTATGTTAACTTTAAATGCTTTGTGTTTGCTAACAATGAGTGGCTTGGCTCGGCCTATTCGCATTTAATTTATGTAAAATCAAGCTGCCATAAAATTGATTTAATCACACCAAAAAAATAGTCACACAGATTCAGGGTTAGTTTTGAGTTAAACAAAAGGTCAAAAAGGTATGGTATACTTCGGAAAATGTATTGAAAATGAGCAAATATATTTTATTATTATGTTTATAGTTTTTTTGGTTACCTACATAAAATAAAAAACATTCATTTTCATGTATATTATAACTTTAATTAATAATTGCATAAATATTTTGTTTATTTTTCTTTTAAAATTTAACTTTCTCAAGTCTTCTTCTATGTATTCAAGCTAATTGCGCGATCGGTTACCAAATCTGGCATAAAAAAGAAGAAAATAAAAACAAGGCAGGACCCTCGTAATCGCTGGCTGACACTCACATTACGTATACGCCCAGTCGGCCGGCATTAGCAACTTCCGTCACAATGTTATAAAAAAAAAAGTAATACCAAGCTGGCAAAAGGCCGTAAAGAAAAATGCGTTGCTTGTTTTTCTGTAAGGGAGAAAGTCTGTCGCTCTGCAATTATATTGTCTTGTATGTTTTTACTTATTTTTCCATGAAGCTTTTCGAATGTAAACACGAGCAGCTCGTCGTCAGTGTGCTGTTGCTGTTGCTGTCTTTGCCATTTGAATGGTTTGTTTTGCAAACAAAATTCTCTGGCAGTGTAAAGTGTGTTTTCATTTCATTCAATTGTCAGCGCGGCATTTCGCCTCGAACGAAAGTGAGAGTTTCAGTTTCAGTACACTACGTTTCAGGCGTGTAACTCTGCCGACAGTGACGGCCTGCACACATGTCAGTCACGGCTGTCAATAGCGCGTGTCACTGTTATTGTTATTGTTAAGGGGCGTGACCGAAGGCGGGGTCGGGCCAAGAGAGTTATTAGCCAAAAACAGCGAAATGCTGGGAAAGTGCACGAAGGCAGTGGAAACCAATTAGCATTCGTCATTGTTTATATTTTAGAGGTGTTTTTTTCTGGTGGTCTTGGAATTACATACATTTTGGACCTACCCCACTTTAAAGGTCTTTAAATATATTTAAAATCATTCAAATATACCAGATATATTTATGGAATAATTTCGAAACTTGCTATAAAAAGGATAACCTTTATAAACCACTCAAAAATTATAAAAAAAAATTAAAATCTGTGTTTAAAAATTCAAATAATGCTTATTTGGCAAAGTAAAAACCTATGAAAATCCTAATCCATATCTTAATTAAAACTAAACTTGGATAAAAATAGGGGCAGTTAGTTAATGAAAACTTTGACCCGTCTGTCAATTAAGATTTTGCTTTGTTTTTTTGCGACTTTTCTTTCAAAATCGTACAAAATTTCGACCTGCTCCACATTATACACTCGTTCACAGTCTGAAATATGATGGAATTGGGTGTATATATAGATATATATATTTCGTCCGATCCCGTGCATTGTGGAGCAAGCGAGAGACACATAAAATCAAATGTTTAATTTATAAAGCTGGTAGAGTTCGGATTTTGATTGGCTTTTGCTTTTCCACTATTTTCGAGACTTTACGTTTCGATATTTGAGTTGGACTTCGAGAGACTCGAACCTAATTTTTGCGGGTTTTTCATTTTGCCGAGACCAGTTTTTTCCGCTCTTTTTTTTTCTGTTTCTGTTGCTTTGCCAACAACTATTTGCCAATCGACGGCGAGTCGGCGAGTTATAGGTTTTGGCTTTGCCTTTTCGCTTGTTGTTTTCCTTTTTGCAAAAATATTAATTGTTGTAAAACAAAACTAGTTATTGTTAGTGCTATTGTTGTGCGCCTGCAACTTTTACTTGCTGGCTAAATTGAGGCGTGCCGCCTGCTGCGGCCATAATGGAAATCTTTTTTCGACCAGGGCAGCTCGCTTTTCGCTTTTTCAGTTAGCTTTTTCATTTTTTTTAGTTTCTCGGCTTTTCTTTCTTAGCTGAGGAAGTAAAAGCCGTTGCCAATTGGCCAATTGAAGAGACTCTACGGTGCGCTCTCGCCCCCTTTGAAAGCGAAACTGAAAACGCCGCCCCGCCTTTTCCCAGTGTGTTGTTGTTTCTTAACAACTTCTGGCCCCCAACTGGCTTTTATCGTTTATTTCATTTCGTTTTATTCATTGTCTTTGACAAGTTTGCCTTCAACTTCGGTCGGTCAGCAGTAGCGGTACAGAACCCGTTGTCGTTGTTGCCCAAGTCCGTGTGCCTTATGCTGCTGCTTTTCTCACACTCGACCAGCCAGCCAGCCAGCCAGCCAGCCGTTTGTTCTGTCTCGCAGTCTTACACAGAAAAATATAGTTTATATAGAGGTAGCATAGAAGCGTTTTTAATTATTTAAATTAAACGCATTCTGTTCCATAATTAATATAATTTTTAATCTGTTTTATTCAAGAACTGACAGTTATTTTACAGGTTTTTTAAAGCAAAAAACAACACAGATACACTTGGTTTTGGCCAATTTATCACTTTGTACTATTTTGACATTTATACTTAAATATATAATAAAAATTATTGATATAGAATACCAATTTTGCCAAATTAAGACATAAACACAAAATAAATAAATAAAATAAATAAGCTTATGAAGCTTATATTTTATTTTTATTTATTTCTTTATTTCTTCTAGAACATTTAATAAAGTACAGCAAAGTACATAGCTTTAAAACATCATAACCAATTCAATAATATTATGATCGCCTGAACTTAGCCTTAAAATGTAATTAATAATTTTTCAAATAAAAAAAGGAGACTCGATAAAAGTCATGGCCAAATATTGAGTGGCCTAAACATAGTTTTAGTTGTTTTGATGTTGAGTAAAGTCTCTAAAAGTATAAATTATCAAATGAAAACAGCTACAAAATACTCTTTGAAAATTAAAAAAAAAAACTCTAATATTTAATTAAAAATAATGATTAAATAACAATTTTTGAACCGTGCATTCTACATTTACGTTTACGTTCTCCCCAAGTGCCATGAAGTTGCTGCTGCTTAACATTCATTTTTCCGTTGCGTCAACGGACTTTCAATATTCTTTGGCATGCTTCTTGTTCAAAGGGGGGTTTGTGGGGGCGCTGCTTTATGTCTTGTGGATATGATAATTTCCATGGGTATAGCTATGCCCATGCCTCTGACACACATTCGGACTCACTCACCATTTTTGAACTCAACTCCGCGCCGCGTGTATCCAAGAGCTTGGTCAGCCGCAAAATCGATTCTCCTTGAAATGACAGTGGGTATTAGATTGCGATTTGCAATTGGAGTTTGGTTTCGATATTGGAGATTGCCGATTGATATGGACACTGGTACACACACCGCTCTGGCTGGAAAAACTACAACTGTCGTGGGTAAATACCGCACATTTTCCGACACTAGTCACTAGTCACTTTCAAAAATCCTGCCGCTTTTTGGTTTCAGTTCGTTTTTCTTGTCTTTTCTTGACTTGTCACTGCGAGCTCGCACGTTGGACTGAACTGATCCAAAACTGGGCTCCAAAGCTGAGAAACTGAGAGCTCTGCCGGCGGAGCCAGGCCGACGCTGCCACCAGCTGCCAAGACAAGGCGACGACAGCGACCAAGGCAGCGACGCCGACGTCGACACTCTGAGAAAATCAGGGTTAAGAGAAAATAATAATAAAAGAAGCAGTTAACCTTTAAAGGAATCGTAGAAGCATTCTACTCAGAAATGAACTGAAAACAAGAAAGGAAGCTTAAAAATCAGATTTTATAATACAAAATAATATTTTTCCAAGTCAAGGAATCATTTCCGACCCCATAAACCATATATATTCTTGATCAGCATTAACATGCGAATCTTTCTAGACATGTCCGGAAGAAATCGATTTTTTTGCCATTTTTGCGAAAAATCATAAGGGGTTACATCATTAAAATTCTCAAAAATGACCAAAAATTTTGATTTCTTAAAATTTTAAATTTGGTATGCAGTTTTTTTAAAATAATAAAAACTAACACAAAACTGCTTTCCGAATCGAAATTAATGCATTTTTGACTTAGTTATGATAAATTTTAATTGTTACCTGCAAGGGTATACAAACTTTGGCTGGCCAAAGTTAGCTTTCTATCTTGTTTTTATTTAATTATTTCATATTTTATTTAAAATAAAAGTTAATACTTTCTCGCAGTGCAGCGATTGGAGTAGCAGAGAGTCGTGCTGAGTTTAGCTTTGCGCTCGGCTTTTATTTTGGCTCGGGCGCTGCGTTGAGCTTCAGGCCCGCCACGTCCGAAAGCCATATACGAGCAGCAGTCCAGCAAAAACAACAACAACAAACAAACAACAATAGCAACAAAAGCAGCAGCATAAAAACAGTTTCGGTTTGCACTCCGCGGCGCTGTGAGCTGCATGGAAAATTCAGTTTTTTATGCTTTGCTTTGGCCTCCTTCGTAGCCACTGTTAGCCATTAACAGAGTGTTAACAGAGCGCGGTTAACTAGCTAATAGCGGTAGTATGTATTCCAATGGAACGGACTTCCAGCCGAAACTTGCTTCCACTGGTTTAGATTTTTATTAGATGTTTATTTGATTTTATTAAATTAATTTTCATTAATAAGGTTTAGTTTTGTATAAAATTGTTTATTTATAGCGTTGGTTGGCATAACTTTTTATGAAAAAGTTTTATAAGATTTTAAAATTCATTTACAGAACATTCGGATGCAGGAGCGATACATTTTTAAACTTTCTTAACTTTATTACTCTTTATTAATTAAAGTAAATTATCATTAACATCATTTTTAATCTCAGGTACGGAAAATTTTAAATGGGTTAACACCTAATGGTTCGATAACTTAGCTAGGTAAAACCGGTCGCCACCCAATTTCTTTGGGGGAGGCGGCAGCAACCACCATTTGTTATCAGATTGGGGATTTTGTAAACAAACATGTTTGATTAGCATAAAGACAAACGGCCAAGAGCCGTGTCAGGCAAACGTCTCCGGGCAGATCCCCATCTTGAAGCACCATCTCTCCATCTGGGACTGCGTCAAGCCGTGGCAAATGCAAATTCAAATTCGAAATATGATTTACAAAATACGCAGCACATAACACTTTCGGCTATCGTTTCACACGATAGAAAGCAGGAGGTGGCAGCCTTAGCTCTGTCTCATTTGCATAGGTGTTCGCCGGTGTTTGCAGTGTGTGCTCGGGCATAATGGAAAGGGTTTCATAAGAGCAGCCCGATCCAAGCCAATATCAAATCAATACCAAATCCGCGTCCAATCACCAGCGTCATTCCTGACCGGCCACGCCTCCCCGAAAATAAGCGAACCAACGTTAGAAAATTAGGTTCAAATGAAAACGAAAGTCCGCACAGGTTGAGTGCATGGTTATATCGACTCGGATCTTGAGGCTGATCAAGAATGTATATGCTCTATGGGGCCAAAAATTACTCTTTAAAAGCATTGCAATCTTTTGATTATAATTAGAATGCCCTGCATTCTAATATAGTGAAACAAATACTTACAGATGATGTTGTTTCTGGCAGTTTTTCTTTGGTTTTTTTTTTTTTATAATTGTTTAAATCTATTCCCTGTCCAGGGGGGTTCTTGGTTGGCAATTCCTGGCCAAATTCGAGGCCAGATGCCTTCTCACGCTTTGCATGCCATAAATTTCACTGCCTTTCACTGTAAATCAAATTGGTCGACTTAATTGCGTGCATTTTAATGCCCAATTCCATTGCGTGCCATTTGATGTTTTTTCTGCAGCAGCTTTTGCTTTCTGGCTTTTCCTTTTTATATTGCCTTTTCCTTTAGCTTTTGAAATTCTGTGTGTGCCAGTTTCGGACGAGAAAACTCTTCGAGATGCTCTGTTTCGCAAGTGGACTAGATTTCACGTCGGAAAGGTAAAACAAACAAGATAGGAAGCTAACTTCGGCACGTCAAACTTTGTATACCCTTGCAGTTTGCAATTGAATTATTAAGAATCGATCCATTCTCGTGAAATTAATAGAAAAATTAACAGGAAATATATCAAATTCGATTATTAAGACACAGACAAAATATGTATACTTTATAGGGTCGGAAATGTCTACTTCACTGCGTTGCAAACTCCTGAGTAAAGTTCTAATACCCTGCAAGGATATATAAATTGAAAATCGAAATGCAGGAAGAGAAAAAAGTGATATTTCAATGGGACAAATTGTCTATGCGTTTCAGGTGGGAGCTAGAGACCTCCCTCGGAGGGTTCCAGGTGCATTGGCATGACGGCTTTCAAAATCGTAGATTGAATATCAAATCGAACGATTTAACCTTCACTGTGGCCGAGTTCGTGCCTTAAGTCATTTGTTTTTGTACCGAATAAACACTCGCACACAGAAATTGAAAGTGAAATTTCGTTGTTGTTACTTTTACTTGCTACTTGCTACTGCTTTATTTTTTGTGATTTTTTTGTTGCTAGGTAATTTTGTTGGCTGCCTTTATGATTTTGGTAATTGTGGAAAAAGAAAGGCACTCACAATCGTATCGCCTCGCATCGCATCGCTGATAAGAAACGTGATTTAATTTTAAGCTAAAAATTATTTTGAAGAAACACATACGGCGCTTTTCACTTTTCAATGGCCTTGCCTTCGGGAGTGCCTTGCCATATAAAATTGACTGTGGACTTGAATCTCTGGGTCTGATTTAAAAGAGTGGAAGAACAAAAAACTCGTCTGGGAGTTGTCTTGTCTGGGCTCATATATGTCTGTATTTTTCGCGTGTGTAAAATGCCCTTCATAAAGGTTTATTTTTTTCGGCGTAAAATTATATATATATTATTATAATATAAATTATATTATTAATAAATTAATAATCCCAGTCTCTGTTATTGTTACCTTCACCGTATATCATTAATTATTATTTAAATTGTTATTTTTTAATATTTAAGCTCAATTCTAGATTAATTAAAGCTGTCTTAGCTGAAGAGCATTGCATGTTCAGATGGCCATAAGTACCAGCTTCTGTTGCTTTTTTCCCGTGCTCTTTGGCCTCATCCCTTCCTGCCATTGTAGCACAGACAATGATGGTGCTGCACTTGGATGTTGGAGGTAGAGCCGGTGATGGCACTGGCCCTGTGGGGGGGGGGTTGAGTCAGAGTCGGAGTCGATAGCGATCTGCTTTCGCTGCCCGTTAATCAGGCAGTCAACGAAAGAGCAAGCTCACCCGGTAGTTGCTTTGGGCTTTCGCCTTTGTTTGCTTTACTTTTGTGTTTAGAGTTTATTTTGTTTCTCTTAGTTTTCAGTTTTCCGTTTTAAGTTTTAATTTTTTTTTTTGTATTGGTTTGATTGATGCGAGAACAAGGTTTGTCGCTTAGCTCTTTGTCGACGGCGGCGTCGGCTACCGGATGTGTTCTATTAAAATAGAGGCGTTCTCCAGGCAAGGCCTTTATAGCACACTTTTAATCGTAAAAAAAATAAAACATATTCTTTTGGGATTTCTCAATAAATATACATGACTGTGTGCAGCCTTCGAACTTGGTTAGGTTTCCTCTAAATAAACATAAAAACAACTAGAGACGTTGGTGCTGGAGCAGCTAGAAGAGGAAACGCTGACCAGTGATTTCTTAGACGTCTTTAGTTTGTTTCGGCTTCTCCATTTCTGCCAAAGGCGCTTGAAGATGACCTTTGAGCGTTTCTTCTGGACCTCAGATGGACATAAGGAGGCTACATCCGAAAGTATCTCCGAAGGTATCTCGGAACGCTTTATGATAGATTCCGGTAGCATTGGAGGTGCAATTTCTAACGGCGGATTCTGCAGGCCCTTTAGGACTAACTGAAGATTCCGTCTCAGAACCTGGTACTGTTCATGTTCGGCAAATGGATTTTTGTGATTGGGATAGGGTACGGGTTCAGGTGCGGAAGTACTTGGTCTTTTAGGAGAACTTAAAGTTAAACGGCGCCTTATGCGTGGTGGTGGCTTTGGTGGAATTAACGGTGACTGTGGGGTTGGATGCTTCTTAGGTCTCGTGTCCAGCCTGAAATGCTCTGCATTGCTCTTGGTGCTGCAATGGAAAAGCCAGCTAAAGCATAAGCTCTTGGTTAATATTCTGGACAAAATCTTTGATCACAATACTCACCCCACCAGAATGAGAACTGCATTGTAGATCGGCAGCGTCACTAAACCCAGAATTAGTAACCTAAGCAGCGGACACCAGGATTGCTGCAACTGCGTCAGCCAGTTCGAAGAACAGCAGCCAGGAGTAGTATCCGTACTCCCATTGTACACACTCAGGGCCGTTGACTCCCATAGTCTGGGGCACTGGCCGAAGGGCAGGATCATTATCATGGACAAACCAAGACAGGCTCTAAATGGAAGCTTCATTTTATGTTGTATATAATTGTTATTTTGTTTGTGGTTTAAAAATAGTGTAAACCTATTGACTTTTGGTGCTGGGAAGTGTTATGTTCATTTTATTTTGAATTAAGGGGGTTGACCCATGTAACAGCCACTTAAATTTTTTTTTTTTTTAACGCATTTTTTTAAATTTTTCAGTGTAAAACAATTAAAGCCTGATCCAATTGCAAATATTATTCAAGTAAATTTTTATTTACAAAATAAACTCTTTAGTTACTTCCTGTATCGATACCCGTTGATGGACATATACATCCTTTCTGGGCTCCAATTGATCGACATTCGTTTCCGGCACAATTGGCAGATATCTGCAACAGGTACTGTGTGGTAATCCCACTGGCAGAGTGCAGGGGGGCACAAAGTTCTCCTCACATAGGGATATCAGTGTATCCGCCGAAGTACTCGTTAAACTCCGCATGCGACTTCGCAGATAGTGACTGCAGTAGACGGCGGGCAGAAGCAGCAGAGTGAAGGGTAAAAGCCAGAACCAAATGGCGTTCTGGAGAATAATAATAATAAATATAATTAATGGTACATATATCCACTGCAATCCTCACTCACCATCGGATTAGCGATCCTCCAACAAAGATCATTTAAGTCCTTTTGGTCTTGCGAATCTGAGTTCTCATAGTCAGGTGAATCTGAGTCCTCATGGTCTTTCGAACCTGAGTCCTCATGGTCAGGGGAATATGTGTCCCCATGGTCTTTAGAACCTGAGTCCGCATGGTCAGGAGAATCTAAGTTCGCATAGTCAGGAGAAGTTAAGTCCTTATGGTCTTTCGAATCTGAGTCCTCATGACCTTCCGAATATGAGTCACGGTCTTTTGAATCTGCCGAATCTTTCGAATCTGAATCATGGTCAAGCGAATATGAGCCCTCATGGTCTTTTGAATCCTTTTGGTCAAGCGAATCTGAGTCAACATGATCTTTCGAATCTGTGTCACGCATATCTGAGTCATAATAGGCAAGCGGTTTTGATAACAAATAGTCCGAATACTTATAGTCATGCGAATCTGAATCCCCATGGATTTTCGAATCTGATCCCTTATGGTTAGGAGAAAATGAATCCTGATGGTCTTTTGAAGCCTTATGGTCAGGCGAATATAAGTCCTCGTGGTCTTTCGAATCGGTCGAATCGAAGGCATAATAGTCATGCGGTTCTGAGTACAAGTAGTCGGAGCTTTCATAGTCATACAAATCTGAATCCCCATGGGTTTTCGAATCTGATCCCTTATGGTCAGGAGAATATGAATCCTGATGGTCTTTTGAAGCCGTATGGTCAGGTGAATCTGAGGGCTCGTTGTCTTTCGAATCCGTCGAATCAAAGGCATAATAGTCAGGCGGTTCTGAGTACAAATAGTCTGAGCTTTCATAGTCATGCAAATCTGAATCCCCATGGGTTTTCGAATCAGATGCCATATGGTCAGGAGAATATGAATCCTGGCGATCTTTTGAAGCCGTATGGTCAGGCGAATCTAAGTGCTCGTGGTCTTTCGAATCGGCCGAATCGAAGGCATAATAGTCAGGCGGTTCTGAGTACAAATAGTCTGAGTTCTCATAGTCATACGAATCTGAATCCCCATGGCTTTTCGAATCTGATCCCTTATGGTCAGGAGAATATGAATCCTGATGGTCTTTTGAAGCCGTATGGTCAGGTGAATCTGAGTCCTCGTGGTCTCTTGAATCGGCCGAATCGAAGGCATAATAGTCGTGCGGTTCTGAGTACAAATAGTCTGAGTTCTCATAGTCATACGAATCTGAATCCCCATGGCTTTTCGAATCTGATCCCTTATGGTCAGGAGAATATGAATCCTGGCGATCTTTTGAAGCCGTATGGTCAGGTGAATCTGAGTCCTCGTGGTCTTTCGAATCGGCCGAATCGAAAGCATAATAGTCATGCGGTTCTGAGTACAAATAGTCGGAGCTTTCATAGTCATGCAAATCTGAATCCCTATGGGTTCTCGAATCAGATCCCATATGGTCAGGAGAATATGAATCCTGGCGATCTTTTGAAGCCGTATGGTCATGTGAATCTGAGTCCTCGTGGTCTCTTGAATCGGCCGAATCGAAGGCATAATAGTCGTGCGGTTCTGAGTACAAATAGTCTGAGTTCTCATAGTCATACGAATCTGAATCCCCATGGCTTTTCGAATCTGATCCCTTATGGTCAGGAGAATATGAATCCTGATGGTCTTTTGAAGCCGTATGGTCAGGTGAATCTGAGTCCTCGTGGTCTTTCGAATCGGCCGAATCGAAAGCATAATAGTCATGCGGTTCTGAGTACAAATAGTCGGAGCTTTCATAGTCATACAAATCTGAATCCCTATGGGTTCTCGAATCAGATCCCATATGGTCAGGAGAATATGAATCCTGGCGATCTTTTGAAGCCGTATGGTCATGTGAATCTGAGTCCTCGTGGTCTCTTGAATCGGCCGAATCGAAGGCATAATAGTCGTGCGGTTCTGAGTACAAATAGTCTGAGTTCTCATAGTCATACGAATCTGAACCCCCATGGCTTTTCGAATCTGATCCCTTATGGTCAGGAGAATATGAATCCTGATGGTCTTTTGAAGCCGTATGGTCAGGTGAATCTGAGTCCTCGTGGTCTTTCGAATCGGCCGAATCGAAAGCATAATAGTCATGCGGTTCTGAGTACAAATAGTCGGAGCTTTCATAGTCATACAAATCTGAATCCCTATGGCTTTTCGAATCTGATCCCTTATGGTCAGGAGAATATGAATCCTGATGGTCTTTTGAAGCCGTATGGTCATGTGAATCTGAGTCCTCGTGGTCTCTTGAATCGGCCGAATCGAAGGCATAATAGTCGTGCGGTTCTGAGTACAAATAGTCTGAGTTTTCATAGTCATACAAATCTGAATCCCCATGGCTTTTCGAATCTGATCCCTTATGGTCAGGAGAATATGAATCCTGATGGTCTTTTGATGCCGTATGGTCATGTGAATCTGAGTCCTCGTGGTCTCTTGAATCGGCCGAATCGAAGGCATAATAGTCGTGCGGTTCTGAGTACAAATAATCTGAGTTCTCATAGTCATACGAATCTGAATCCCCATGGCTTTTCGAATCTGATCCCTTATGGTCAGGAGAATATGAATCCTGATGGTCTCTTGAAGCCGTATGGTCAGGTGAATCTGAGTCCTCGTGGTCTTTCGAATCGGCCGAATCGAAAGCATAATAGTCATGCGGTTCTGAGTACAAATAGTCGGAGCTTTCATAGTCATACAAATCTGAATCCCTATGGGTTCTCGAATCAGATCCCATATGGTCAGGAGAATATGAATCCTGATGGTCTTTTGAAGCCGTATGGTCATGTGAATCTGAGTCCTCGTGGTCTCTTGAATCGGCCGAATCGAAGGCATAATAGTCGTGCGGTTCTGAGTACAAATAGTCTGAGTTCTCATAGTCATACGAATCTGAATCCCCATGGCTTTTCGAATCTGATCCCTTATGGTCAGGAGAATATGAATCCTGGCGATCTTTTGAAGCCGTATGGTCAGGTGAATCTGAGTCCTCGTGGTCTTTCGAATCGGCCGAATCGAAAGCATAATAGTCATGCGGTTCTGAGTACAAATAGTCGGAGCTTTCATAGTCATGCAAATCTGAATCCCTATGGGTTCTCGAATCAGATCCCATATGGTCAGGAGAATATGAATCCTGGCGATCTTTTGAAGCCGTATGGTCATGTGAATCTGAGTCCTCGTGGTCTCTTGAATCGGCCGAATCGAAGGCATAATAGTCGTGCGGTTCTGAGTACAAATAGTCTGAGTTCTCATAGTCATACGAATCTGAATCCCCATGGCTTTTCGAATCTGATCCCTTATGGTCAGGAGAATATGAATCCTGATGGTCTTTTGAAGCCGTATGGTCAGGTGAATCTGAGTCCTCGTGGTCTTTCGAATCGGCCGAATCGAAAGCATAATAGTCATGCGGTTCTGAGTACAAATAGTCGGAGCTTTCATAGTCATACAAATCAGAATCCCTATGGCTTTTCGAATCTGATCCCTTATGGTCAGGAGAATATGAATCCTGATGGTCTTTTGAAGCCGTATGGTCATGTGAATCTGAGTCCTCGTGGTCTCTTGAATCGGCCGAATCGAAGGCATAATAGTCGTGCGGTTCTGAGTACAAATAGTCTGAGTTTTCATAGTCATACAAATCTGAATCCCCATGGCTTTTCGAATCTGATCCCTTATGGTCAGGAGAATATGAATCCTGATGGTCTTTTGAAGCCGTATGGTCATGTGAATCTGAGTCCTCGTGGTCTCTTGAATCGGCCGAATCGAAGGCATAATAGTCGTGCGGTTCTGAGTACAAATAATCTGAGTTCTCATAGTCATACGAATCTGAATCCCCATGGCTTTTCGAATCTGATCCCTTATGGTCAGGAGAATATGAATCCTGGCGATCTTTTGAAGCCGTATGGTCAGGCGAATCTAAGTGCTCGTGGTCTTTCGAATCGGCCGAATCGAAGGCATAATAGTCAGGCGGTTCTGAGTACAAATAGTCTGAGTTCTCATAGTCATACGAATCTGAATCCCCATGGCTTTTCGAATCTGATCCCTTATGGTCAGGAGAATATGAATCCTGATGGTCTTTTGAAGCCGTATGGTCATGTGAATCTGAGTCCTCGTGGTCTTTCGAATCGGCCGACTCGAAGGCATAATAGTCATGCGGTTCTGAGTACAAATAGTCGGAGCTTTCATAGTCATACAAATCTGAATCCCCATGGGTTTTCGAATCAGATGCCATATGGTCAGGAGAATATGAATCCTGGCGATCTTTTGAAGCCGTATGGTCATGTGAATCTGAGTCCTCGTGGTCTTTCGAATCGGCCGAATCGAAGGCATAATAGTCAAGCGGTTCTGAGTACAAATAGTCGGAGCTTTCATAGTCATACAAATCTGAATCCCCATGGGTTCTCGAATCAGATCCCATATGGTCAGGAGAATATGAATCCTGATGGTCTTTTGAAGCCGTATGGTCATGTGAATCTGAGTCCTCGTGGTCTTTCGAATCGGCCGACTCGAAGGCATAATAGTCATGCGGTTCTGAGTACAAATAGTCGGAGCTTTCATAGTCATACAAATCTGAATCCCCATGGGTTTTCGAATCAGATGCCATATGGTCAGGAGAATATGAATCCTGGCGATCTTTTGAAGCCGTATGGTCATGTGAATCTGAGTCCTCGTGGTCTTTCGAATCGGCCGACTCGAAGGCATAATAGTCAGGCGGTTCTGAGTACAAATAGTCTGAGTTCTCATAGTCATACGAATCTGAATCCCCATGGCTTTTCGAATCTGATCCCTTATGGTCAGGAGAATATGAATCCTGATGGTCTTTTGAAGCCGTATGGTCAGGTGAATCTGAGTGCTCGTGGTCTCTTGAATCGGCCGAATCGAAGGCATAATAGTCAGGCGGTTCTGAGTACAAATAGTCGGAGTTTTCATAGTCATACGAATCTGAATCCCCATGGATTTTCGAATCTGATCCCTTATGGTCAGGAGAATATGAATCCTGATAGTCTTTCGAATCGGCCGAATCGAAGGCATAATAGTCATGCGGTTCTGAGTACAAATAGTCGGAGTTTTCATAGTCATACGAATCTGAATCCCCATGGATTTTCGAATCTGATCCCTTATGGTCAGGAGAATATGAATCCTGATAGTCTTTTGAAGCCTTATGGTCAGGCGAATCTAAGTGCTCGTGGTCTTTCGATTCGGTCGAATCGAAGGCATAATAGTCGTGCGGTTCTGAGTACAAATAGTCGGAGTTTTCATAGTCATACGAATCTGAATCCCCATGGATTTTCGAATCTGATCCCTTATGGTCAGGAGAATATGAATCCTGATGGTCTTTTGAAGCCTTATGGTCAGGTGAATCTGAGTGCTCGTGGTCTTTCGAATCGGTCGAATCGAAGGCATAATAGTCATGCGGTTCTGAATACAAATAGTCGGAGTTTTCATAGTCATACAAATCTGAATCCCCATGGGTTTTCGAATCAGATCCCATATGGTCAGGAGAATATGAATCCTGGCGATCTTTTGAAGCCATATGGTCAGGTGAATCTGAGTCCTCGTGGTCTTTCGAATCGGTCGAATCGAAGGCATAATAGTCGTGCGGTTCTGAGTACAAATAGTCTGAGTTTTCAAAGTCATACAAATCTGAATCCCCATAGATTTTCGAATCTGATCCCTTATGGTCAGGAGAATATGAATCCTGATGGTCTTTTGATGCCGTATGGTCAGGTGAATCTGAGTGCTCGTGGTCTTTCGAATCGGCCGAATCGAAGGCATAATAGTCATGCGGTTCTGAATACAAATAGTCGGAGTTTTCATAGTCATACAAATCTGAATCCCCATGGGTTTTCGAATCAGATCCCATATGGTCAGGAGAATATGAATCCTGGCGATCTTTTGAAGCCATATGGTCAGGTGAATCTGAGTCCTCGTGGTCTTTCGAATCGGTCGAATCGAAG